CAAATCGAACCAAATGAATAAACCAATCTTCGAAGCATTCGCTGGTTCTGAGAGTCATTCATGGCGAACTCTTCCTTGGCTGAGCTCAGTCCAAAAACGACAAGATTCCATGGCCCATGGAAGTCAGAGTTACATGGCAGAAATAGGTAGCATCACGAACGACGAAACAAAGGCGGTCAAACAGTCTTTTAACCAAAATAGCAAAAGACCATATCAAAACAGGAAGGATGACCCATTTTTGAATCCGTTTTTGGGATGAATCACTCCACGTGGTTCCCTGCCTGGACACAGGAAATGCCATTTAGCTTATATAACACTTATCGTAGCCAGTCGATAAAGAGGACAGTGTTTTCATCCTCCAAGACAAAAGTGATACCAATCACATTCACTCCGGAAGAATGAATGACTATGCTAGCCCAGTCGAAGCTCGATTCGAGATTTTGGTTTGGTCTCCGGCTCATGCACTGCCGAGTGGCGCCGCTAGCCACTGCACCATCTCATTTTTATGCCATAATCACTGAAAAAGTTACCTACTTTATTCCAAACCTATCGCCCTTTCCGATAAGCTCCAATATTGATAGAATCTTTGCAATATTCTCTGACTGTGAAGAAAGAAGCCTCCTAGCAAGAAACCCTACTAAGTGACCTTTTCGAAAGCCAGTTCACTCGGTTTGAATATTGCCTAGGCCTCAACATTTGAGTTACGTGGACTTCACAAGTGGCTAAAGGTAAACCAGATCGACGAACATGGTACAACAGAAATGAATTAGAACAACTTTCTCAACAAGAGCATAACTTTAAACGAACGAACAATTTACAGCCTTCATGCGCGTGCTTTCTGTCCGGGTGTAATTCGGAAATCGTAAGCTGGTCCGATGCATTGTTGCGTGCACTTATCCCTTATATCAGTTTTACGAAGAATTTGAGAGGAAAAGTTTCTTAGTTAAAACGAACTGTACATAAATAACCAATTAATAAGTGTACTTACTTCGATGATGTGGAGATCTAGCTGACACAAGAAATATCAGTTTCCTCATGGAACTTCTTCAAATAAGTGTCGAGGATACGTTGGTGACCTGCGCATCACTACACAAAGCGAGTTTTTTTTTTGTTTGTGCTTCAGGCACAATTTTCTCTCCTTATTTAGGCTTGCATGGAAGATCCCCTTCTCCGCTAAAAAATTGAACCCTGTACAACAAAACCGAACCTCGGTTTTCCACTAGGGGAAAAATCGACTGTTGAGCAACAAGAGCGAATTGCAGCAGTCTGATTATGACATTTTATTTTATAAATTTTCATGACAACGGGATTAGTCAGCGCTAGAGCTTAATCACTCACAGCTTTCACATCGTTCAGCCTCAAATCTCCTAGGAAGAGTTTTCCGTTCAGAGGAGCAGCAGTCACAATCGTACTCGCGTGAGGACCTATTATACGATATCAAATCTTCCTATCGGTAACATTAAGGCCACAGGTCAGGATCAGGTGCCAAGAGCCAGTACCTCATCAAGTAAAAATGTGGGGTACCCAAGCCAGCAGTAGCTGCGACAGAGCCGCGGCTCTTGGATGCACAGTAAGAGCACTACCTAATTTCCGGTGTATAAGCCCGCGCCGATTTCACGTAAAACCACCCGCTCGCGCAGTGTAACTTTGTACACCTTAGAAACCACCGCAAATTTGCCTATAGAGGTAAGTCGATGCCCTGATCACGAAAAATGACTTTCATTTTCAGCGCTGGCGCCATCTGGCGCCAGTTGGCGCCACCTTGTCACGACCCTTGTTTTCGCCAAAATCGGTGTAAACTTCAGTATAGGGGTTATTTGGGACCCTGATTACGAATATGACATTCATTATAGGCGCTGGCGCTGTTTGACGCCTATTTTCTGCTCGTCTGCGCTCTCCAACCGAGACATGTGCACTAAACAACGTTAACGCCAAAAACGAATGTCATATTCGTAATCAGGGTCCCAAATAACCCCTATACTGAAGTTTACACCGATTTTGGCGAAAACAAGGGTCGTGACAAGGTGGCGCCAACTGGCGCCAGATGCCGCCACCGCTAAAAACGAATGTCGTTTTCGTGATCAGCATATCGAATTACCCCTATGGGCATGTTACGGTTGACTCTAGATGTACTCAAGTACACTGCACCAGTGGAGGTGTTTTTACATGATACTAGCGGGGGCTTATACACCGGAAAATAGGGTAATTGTAAGGTCTTGCACGTACTCTCTCGCGTTTTCCCCTTCCTTCCAGCAGCGTTCTCCGCCATATCATGGCCGGCATTACAAGGAAAATTTCATATCCACTGATGTTCCTCGTCGCACTTCTTGTCTGATTTTGAACAAAATAACACACCATTGTGATCCCGATTAGTGCCGCATCACGGACATTGTCTGACTCTCGCGATTGATTAGAGCCACGAGTCGGGATTAGGTCCAAGAGCCAGTCCCTTTAGAGTGAGGGAGAGGGGTCCCCAAGGGCAGGAGGCACGACACTGTCGCGACTCAAAAGTGCGAGGCAACGGCGCTAAGGCCTTGCCTTGTGTGCTGCCGTGCTGCCAGCGTTATCAACCACGGCATACGTGGTCTCTGCGTCCTCTCGCGTACGACGTACTATCTCGCGTTCTCCCTCTCCTCGCAGCGCTGTGTCTCTCCGTCGTACTACGGCCGGCCTCCTAAGGGGAAATTTAGTGTTTTCTATGGTGCTTTTTGCTTTTTCTCCTCACTAATGTTCCTCATTGCACCCCTTGCCTAATTTTCGAACAAAATAACGCATCAATTCAATCCCGACTCGTGCCTTTAAGTAAGAGGCATCGTTGAATCTGTACGGGAGCCCAAAAAAACAAGCACTTAATTGGACATTTGGCTTCCATGTATCATTCTCTAGGCCATACCAGGCTTTTGGTAACACAAATTTCTTTCAAAAAATAAAAGTTGAATCTTTTGGCGTTGAGCAGTCCTTTCTGAGATGCGTCAAGCATTCTACTGATGTTCAGTATCGTAGTGGCATTCGAGTTTGGTATGGCCTGTACGATGATTTAGGAGCCAACCGATGTCCGGTCAGTGCGTTTTATCCTCCCAAACACATGTGGCACCAATTGACCCATGCCGGAGGGATCTAAGGTATGAGTGGCCTGAGAGAAGTTGATCTGAACTTGGTCTCTTGTTTCGTGCTGAGGAGTAAGGCCATTGGCACCACTCTATCCTCCCCCTAATTCTAGTGCAACTGCAGCAAAAAAAAACTCACTTTATCAAAACAAACCGAGGCACGAGAACATTTATCCAGTGAAAAAGCAAAATCGTTCACTAACCTTTCGAAGAGGCTTTGAAATGAAATATTACAATTCAAGTGAAATCCAACCGTAACATGAACCTACTACCCGTCATGTAAAAAAGAAAGCGAACTGAAATAGATCCACACCTACATAACTACCACTAGATAATATATAGAGGTATCACAGTGGCTCGATTTTAAGCCGCATATTCTTCTAGATCACCGGCGATCACGCTAGCAAAACTCGATGATTAGCCACGTCTCCGTGCTTCTATGTAAATGAAAATAGCGATTGCCATAAATGGTATCGTCAATCTGAAATACAACAATCAAGTCAGACCAAATATAACAGCAAGCGAGACGTTTTAAAAGTTTACAAATTGCAGCGAGTAATTAAGGGAGTCCTCCATGGAAAAATCATGGTTATATCTCACAAAAAAATCACTAGCTTGAGACCCATCATAGTGATAAGAACGCAGAGAACAAAAACTATTTATTTTCGGAAACAATTCAAAAACCACGAAGGACCGTTTTTTCCATTCCCGCCGTACGTCTGTCAAAAATGTTGACGTCTTGAATGATTCCACTTGTTCTCGGAGTGAAAGCATCTTTTGGCCTCCTTCACACATGGCCATAATATTTCAGTCTTCCACTGCATCCTTCTAGCGATCGTTTTGTATCTATTCTAAGTTACCACTTCTTTCCATGCGCTCCATTGTCTCCGCCCAACCTACCCTCGACCGTCCATGAAGTGTGGTTTTCGTGAGTTTGTTTCCCTTCGAGAATTCTTACGTTGCCCCTAATGATCACAACCGACTTATCCATGTTAGGAACATAATGCAAGACTTTTACGGGGACGATTGAATTGACGAAATTCATTATATTTAGAAAGAACATGCTTGGGTATGAGTGCCCATCCGAGAAAAACTGGTTTTTGCTCGGAAAATAGAAGGGAGTCGGCTCACTTATTCAAGTTTACATTATCACTTTATAGTGTGGAGCGATTCGTCGCATTGATCGTGCTGGGCGAGGGAGAGATTTGCAAAAAGATAGGTTCCTGCAGGGTGAATCAAAGTTTTTGGGCAGCTGTAGAAAAATCTGTGCGTGGTCTTTATCATGACTATGCCGGGGAACCTAACAAGGGAGGTCTTTCAGGACATGGAGCGCTTTTTCGAAATGGTTTTCTGCATGTTGTAGGGGCTCATGCGAGGAACACAGAACCATGATCCATTTTTCCTGAACGCCTCCAGGAATGTCAAAACAGTGGTGAAGAAATGGTCCAGAGTTCGATCCCCGGTGATGACTAATTTTTGCAATATAGTTTGGCGCCCCAGATTGCCGCCAAATGGCGCCATCGTCGAGAATAGATGTCATTGTCGTGTTTTGCGGCAATTTGGAGGCGCCAACATAAATTGCAAAAATTTGTCATCACGGAGGATCGAACTTTGGACCATTTCTTCTCCCGCTGTTTTGACATCCTAGGGGCGTTCAGGAAAAATGGACCATGGTTCTGTGTTCCTCACATGAGAATCTACAAAACTAGGGAACCATTTTGAAAAAAACGCTCCATGTCCTGAAAGACCTTCTTGTACGCTAAATTTAGCTGCCGCTAAGATAGAATTTTTCAGGATAACATATTCTCCCTTTCAAATACGAGAAGTCGGGTGCAGACCATACACCACAAGTGACGACGGCCTCCACAAAATGTAAATGTTTTCTGCCAATGAAATGATTAGCCTGTTGCAGTTGTATTCTATCAGTTGTCACTAATTACAACTATCATTTACCAAAATCAGCTATCACTATGAACCACTACTAACCAGATTTACTTGGAGGCCGTCGTCACTTGTGGTGTATGGTCTGCACCCGACGCTCTTCTCGTTTTTGAAAGGGAGGGTATGTATGGTTGCAAATTTGCATTGCTCCCATCCAGTGCACATAGCAAATTATATGAACAGGTCTAGACACACTTCTAGACTAGATGCCGAAAATTTGATGCAAACGCCCACATGGTCATCCAAAACATAACAAGCACTTTAAGCTATTCACGTGAATTTTTCCGTGTGTGTGAAACAGGACCGTGCCCTCCTTCTGAAATTTCTGGAAAATGCGTTCCAACTGGGACGCCCCTACACCGACACGTATACGAAAAGAGTTAGAAGTCAGTGCGTTCTATCGAGACCTCGAGCTTTGCCCACTTCACGCTTTTGCTGACTACCTTCGAACAATGCATTAATGTTTTCGTGCGCCCAGGGGAATGGTTGGGAAAGGCTCAAATCTACTTCCAGATACGCTCAGGGTTCAACCCAGATCCCATTTCGTCAAAAATTGTACAAGTGGAGCAACGTTAGCAAGGTACACACGAAATTGCTAAAGCTATCGTCTGAAACTATCGTAAAGCTATCGTCTGACGACTGAAACAAGAAATAATCGTACTCCACGAAGATCTTCGACTGCATTTCGGAAACGAAGTGCCAAAAAAGGTTTCAACCCAGCTGACCTTAGTCCTTCGAATGATATAAAATTAGCATAAAGTATATATTATCCTTCAAACTCAGGAGATATGATGGACGAAAGAGAACTTGGGAAGGGAAATTAATGGTTCTTTCAGCAAGACGGAGCGGCCGCACACAAAGCGAAAGATGGGCATAGTTGGTGCAGCCAGGCTACCTGGAAATCACAGCGCACGAGAATAGGTCAGTTCTCCCCGGCTGGATTCGAAGGATCACGGCGTATGACATATACTAAAGACGAGAGCCTACTATGGCGTCATTGAAACCTGGAGGGTGGAATAAATTGCTCAGGAAAACTTCAGATGAACTCAACGACGCCTATCTACATGCCATGGTCAGTAAGCTATACCGAAGGCTTCGCTTCTCAGTCAATGCAGGCGCCGGCCACTGAAGCAAAAGAAATATTCCTACTATCTATCTTTCCCTTTTGGCGTGAACAATTTTTTATGACGACTTTACCTTGCTACCATTATTCGTTACCATCCTCTACATACTATCAGGGTCAACCGTGCGTTGTGCAAATTTCAAAAATCCTACGACCACTCTTTTAGGGGTCTCGGTACCACTCCCACCACCACCATCAGCCTTAGGAGACTCCCAATATGACCCCCACAACGACCACCACCCTCACCATCGTGACTGTTTCTGCAGTTCTGATCCCGAGACCAGTCGAGATAGCCCAGCACTGCCCACTTTTTCCCTCCAAATGCCGCGGGAAAAGGATATGCATGAGAAAAACGCAAGTTCTCTAGTTTTCCTACTTTGTACTATTTCGTGAAGTTTCCCCTCAAATCGTCACAAAATCTTCAACTTCCGAAAATTCGACCCCCTCCAAAAAACCGTAATACTTTATGCCGGAGCCCAACAACACCATGATTTTCAGCCAGCTGTTAAACGCGCCAGTAGTGATTATCACTCGATGTCCCGTAAAATCAGTGCTAATCCCATCGAGTAGGAGCGAAAGCCCTAAGATTTTTTCATCGACTGATGTAAAGTTAATTGTGCAATATGATTTCCTAATCTTTCTATTTTTTCTTTCGAAAAAAAAATCACTTACCCTAAAAGGAACTCTTGCTTAATATTCTGATGGCTGAAAAATCTGCTATAGATTGGAATAAGGGGATTGATCCAGTAGGTCAGCTCCTGATGTTCCATACCCAGAATGTTCAAAGGCTTCGTAGTTGTCTCCAACAAATAAATTACCGATGAAGGGCATTCCTAAAACACGCCATATAAAATGACTTTTGGACGGCTCACCTTCCCAGTTTTGACTGTGGACATGTTTCAAATAAGTACCTTAAAACTAGGAAGTGGAGGTGAGTGGCCTGAAATGTAGACAGGCGGCTGGAAAGCACCAGAACGGGGACAGTCGATTGGTTGAAAAGACTTGTCGATGCACATGCGAACGTCGCCGAGCAAAGTCTGTCTGGTCTGAACGGTGATGTTGTTAGCCAGGAGCCGTATCAAAATCAATCAAAAATTAGCAGGATCAAAATAAATGTAAGCTCACCTTCTTGTCTGTGAGGCAGTGGAGCTGTACGTGGAACCCATTGGAAAGTTCCTCGCCTAAGGCGTCGCGAATGTCCTCAAGTTGGTAGGGCTCGCTTCTAGGCACGATTTCGGCCCGCTTCAAAGCGCCTTGCACCGAATATAGTGCATCGATAGCCATTGTTCTGAAACAGGCTCATAATGTTTAAGGCATTCCCAGCACCAATGCGGGAGTATTGGTGCGGAATGGTCGGCAGTAAAGAGAACAAAAAATGAATCTGGCTAAAACGCTAAGTTAAAGGAATCTTCCGCGGAAAAAGCTCCGCCTCCATTACCAGAAAACGATACCCCTTAGGCCCCTAGCCTCATGAGCATAGCAAAAAGAACGGAACATAAGCGTTAGTTTCGATAATACTAATCCTACACACAAGACAAAATGATCACTCTTTCCGTGGAAGATTCCTTTAAGGTATCGTTTTCTGTGGTAATGAGGGCGGAGCTTTTTCCGTGGAAGATTCCTTTAAGGCTTGCACACTTTCAGCTGTGGGTAAAACCATGAGAGACTGAGGGCGGAGAGGAGAGCGTGAGGGGAAATAGCGCAAGAGATGAGAGGACGCCAGATAACAGCCTGCTGCGAGTGGCGAACATCTGAACATTGGATCTGCTACAGCTTACTTGCAAGACCTTAGTGCCTTTGACGGGCCATTCCCATGCACGCTAGTACCACATGTGTGATGGTTATCTAGCGCTCTATCCTACAGACTGAAAGAAATCGTCTACATGACCTATGTATGGGTTGTGCCGGTAGATTGCCGGGATCGAGGTTATTTCTACGCTTGAAAGTCAGTACAGAGCGAAATGACATGCCAGTGAAGCAAAAAAGGGAAGAAGCCGTCGACAAGACCGAATTTTTATTTCTCTTCCCTAAAGCGACGGAGAAGCTGGCAGGAGTGCATGTCCGAACGAATTATTCGGACAGGACAGCCTTGCTGGCTCCGTGAAAGTGGCAGATACGGGGATCAACCCAGCTGATTTCACGCCTTATGCAAGCCACGCACGACTTCCAGCGGTGGGGCGGTCATAGCTCACGTCGTCCGAAAGGGTAGGCAAGGGTTGTGCCGCGCGGTTCGAGTCACGAGCGTTGCATCACCTCTATGGTTGAATACTCCAGTCACAGTATCGACAGAGCGGGTTCCTCTGATTGCCCATACCCGACCTGTGCCTTTAAGTCAACGAAAAAAAGGTTCCACACACAATAACAGCAAACCTCACGTGTTAAAGTAAAGCAGCTCAGACGACAGGTTATGGTGATTCTGGGCGCACGTTCCGTGCTTTTCCCACTCATGCTTCCAAAATGAGTGGGCGGTTTTCGCTGGATACAGATTCGGCCACATTTTGCTAAACAAAAATTGTTCTCGTGTAATTCCATCAACTATTTGTGAAAGAAAGCCCATTAGAATTCGTGATTAAGTTTAGTAGTTAGCTACTTACAGAAGAGTTTGTTCAATCGATTCGATCAGTTTGCTGTCAAATTTCCGAGGCGAACCGTCACAGAACTGTGGATAGGATCCGTTTCTGAAGTTGGGCCATAGGCCGTGGATTGACCATTCGGGGTCCCATAGTCATGCTATAAAAAGTAAACGTGTCGGTGGGGATCTCGCACGAGTCGGGAACTAAATTGAAGTCAGAACAGTTAGTAGGGAAGTATCCAGGTATTTCAAAATTATTATTAAAGTCCCTGTGGGTTGGATCATATTCACAACTCCTGAATTGAAAGCTTCAATATTGGTGCGTTCAACTTTGGAATAAAATAAAGGAAATATGCAGCCTCTCAGAACACTCTCAGCGATCACAGTTTCAGCACTTTTTATTTTCTTAATCCCTTACATTCCACCCAACACACAAGTGCCCGCGATTTCTGATGATTAGGTCATCTTATCACTGCACGTTCTTTCTATGCTCTCTGTATGGAACCACTTGATGTGGGCTGTTATTACCGCTTCATAACTCCTGCACTTCTAAGTAAATCTACTATCTAATTTACGTTTTGGTTCTATTAGCTCAGTTTTTTATTTATTCGTTTTCCCGGAGCCCTGTAATCCGAAATTCTTCTCTCACTTTCGCGAATCCAGCAGGATCCAGTGGAGGGGGGGGGGGTGGAAGGCACCCGGAATAAGCCCAGGTTCTATCTTCATTCCTGTTTTGTTTTGTGCTTATCTGTCAATTTCTTGCTGCGAGCGCTCCCCTCTATCTTGTTTGACGACTTGATATCGTACATAGTAGGGGCGCGCTGTTAGAGCGCAGAAGTAAATAAATAAATGAACAAATGCACAAGTAAATAAATATCACACAAAGACAGGTTAGGAAAGTAACCTCCTATCTATTTATCAAACTCTTGAGGGAAGCAACGAATTTCCATTCAGATAATCGCAAATACATTAATTGGAGAATTTTTTTTACAACGTTGCGAAGAAGGTACAGCAGGCAAGTGGCGCTGTTTACCACGCGCACGGGTCCAAGAGACGAATTCCGGGGTAAATTTCATCAAGAACATTGGTGAAAATGTAGTTCGGAAGGTCACTCCTCGCTATCTTATACCCTACGAGTGATCACTCCTTTGGACTCTCTAACACCAAGATAGGATAATAAGTGAACGATCTAATGGTAAGTGTACTTTCGATAATGACCGGTGGAATATCCTACATCCAGAAATCCTGCCCAAAACCTGTCCAATTTTCAACTCGTCATCTACCCTGGAGCTCCTCCAGCCCTTGCGCTTGAGCAGAGGATGTGCATCCACTGCTTCGATGACCCTTTCTTGGACCATTGCAAGTCGATTGTGGAAATATATCAGGAGTACTTCCGCACTATTCTTCTCCTTACTACTGAGGAGCACAATGAAGTGCACCCCCCCCCCCTTGCTCCGGATAATTAGTACCATATTCATGATTAGGACCGTCAGTAACCCTTACAAATAGACTTTGATCAAAAAACTGGTGTGAAAAAGGTGTGACACCACAGTGGGGCCGTTTTGGTGTCACACCTTTTTCACCAGTTTTTCAATCAAAGTCTTTTTGTAAGGGTTACTGAGACCCTATTCATGAATATGGACAAATTGTACAAATTGTCATGCGCTAATTCCATTTTGCGCCATTTTCCAAACGTCAACTCTAAATGCAAAAAATTGTCACCTCGAGGAGAACTAAGGACCCTCTTTTCTGGAATTCAGAGGGCCGTTCCGGGAAAAATAACTTTGGTTCCAGTGATCCTCACGCGCCCCATATATTTAGTCAAAAGACCGTTTCGAAGAGCTTGCGGTGAACCCGGAACGACCTCCTTCTGTAAGTGGGAAATATGTGCCTTTATTTGGGCCTCAGTTTAGTGCTCCGCGGGTTCGAAAATTCGATGTCAAGTGAGCAGAATGCGCTATATTCATTCGCTTCTACCGTCGGGTGAAAGTATCATCTGCGTTGAAATACAAGAAAGATACGATTCGAGCCCACATATGTGCGCGAGACTGTAATTAACAGGTTTTTTAGCTGAAAAGCACTGAGAAGTGAGCGAAAACGCGGTCCATTGTTTCAAAAACATTCGGCTATGAAATGTTTTGATGTATTCAGATAGATAACAGGAAAAGATAAATCCGTTGTATAATCAGTAGTGAATAATTTGGTCGGTTAGAAGTCTGAATTTGATAGAAGGCCTATGCGAAAATCAGTGTACAGAAACTGGAAGTTGAAAAGTTAGGTAATTTTAATGTCAGAGGCGAGGTTTGCGATGAAAAGGCAGCCCATTAGAAATCAATTTGATACAGAGATGAAAAAAAAACATGAGAAATGGCCCAGAACCCGAGAAATGGGACCCTTCTTTGCCCGTTGATTTCCGCATTGATGCGACTCTCATCGGTGCTGCCCTCTTCAACGCTAACGCTCTCTCTGCTAAACGGCTAGAGTCAGACGGCGAGAGGGTGTGCCGCGGCGCGAGTATGGCCTGCTAGGCCGCTGAGGCCATACTTTTCGCTTCGAAATGCGCATCGTCCCACAACTTTGGGGGACCGCCAGCCTTCCGACTAGATATAGTATTTCCCTTTCTTCGATCTCCAACCTTATCGTGGAATCTTCCTTCAAGAAAATATGCTTGTCGGCGAAGAATTAATCAGCATTCTTGTGTCAAAGAGGGCGAGCCGTGACTAAAAAGGGAAGCCAACAATCAAAAACTATGAGAAGAATCCAGAGAAATTGGGGAAATTTTATAGATTTTTTTAGGAGCCTCAGTATATTTTCAGACCTTTAGATTGATTGATAATATCCAAACACACATGTAATGCTTTTCAGAATCCTTTGGAATATGTTGGAGCAGATTTGAAGTAAAAGCCGTCACGACCAGGGTCAAGCGTGCGTTGAGGAATCCTCGACACGTCGCAGGGGGGGGGGTCGTATTGGCCCGCTGGGTGGAAGAGATCGAGCCGAGTTTGATGCA